AAAAAACAATAAAACCAAGGAAAAGAAAACCCTGCCTGAAGTGACTAGACAGGTTAGGGCATTTAAATAAACAAGGATGAGATCAAAGAAAAATCCCTTGCTTTCCTCCAGCAAATATACTCAATTAGTCCTTTAGCAGAAGTCAAATTAATCTGTAAAATGTACAAAGTGTCTAATTCCAATGCCTTCGCAATTTTCAAACTTTTATCCTGTATTCTTTACTTAAAAGCAAAAAGCAAGTGCCACCAAACACCCACAAAACTGAATTATTGAAAACAAGCAGCTATGGCCTATTCTGATCCTCTGTCTGTAAAGGTACTAACAAACTCCCCATTACTTATGTAAACTCAGAGAGGAAAAAGGGAAATTGCCCATCAGGAATTGTCACTGCTTGGTCTTTTCCTATTCCACAGGAGAGGAGGTAACTAGTCCTTCTCCTGGACAGCAAATATCTGTCCATCACAGCCAAGTACCAGCTTCCTGACACAATTTCTACCGCTCCTAGAGAGCAAGGTACCTCAGAAAGGGAGGAGGGCTCCAGGCCAAGAGAAGTAACTTTGACCTGGCATTGCTGATGGATCTCCCATCTTTCTCTGCTTTCTTACACCACCATTTAGAGCTTAACAAAGACTGAGAAAGGGTATCAAAAGGAGTGTATTGAAGACAGACAGTCATAATGCTTTGCCTGCAGTGTGTTCAAGAAAATGAACTAGCCAAAGTGATGTCTGCAGAAGATAAGACAACAACCTCACAGATTTGCAATGAGCCCGACCCTAACGCTCCCATGAATCATGTAACCTGTTTAGGGCAGCACTAAGCTAGTCCTCTACCCCTTCACTAGCAAGGGGTAGAGAACTAGCCCTTATAACAGATCTCTGAAAATACCTGAGACACCAAAAGCTTCTGAGGATGCTTTCTGCAGAGGAACATTCAGAAAGTTATTCCTTAACAAAGCAGGAGGCAGTCCAAAAAGATGTTTGATGCTGAGGTAGAAATGATGCTACATGAACAAAAGAAAGGAGAAGAAACTACCCAAATTAGCACAAAACTACTCTGCCCTTAAAAGACTAGAAAAGATTTTTTTTTTGTAAAGAAAAATAATAACTCAAAGGCAATACAGAATTTTAAAAACAGCTAAACAGCTCATAAAACTTTCCTTAGAAATCTACACTACCCACAGTCAGTGGCAGCCCTTCACTTTGCTTCTAACTCCTAAAGCAGTGCATTAAAACACATGATTTATTTTCGTAGCTGCACTTAACATTTTTCCTAATTAATCTTCGAGATATTTTTCATAGCCAATTTCCAGCATGTTTTTCAGTCAGCAGTTTCAACAAAATATATGTATTGTTTGAAACCAAAGGGCACATAGCTAGTTTATTACAGCCTTATCTGCTGCTCCATTACCTAGATTCTTCTCCCCCAAGGCGCCTGCTCATTCAGAGCAGAACTCTGTAGTACCAGTTACCAAGAGTACTTCTGTCTGCTGGCACAGGGCCCCTAACAGAAGGGAAGCAAAGACAGTCAGAAATGCAAGACAGTGCTCACATTGCTTGGAAGGCACTTGGTTTGCCCCCTTCATTGCTCCCAGGGCGGACAAATCAATAGTGCTTGTAAATAAATTCTATAAATCGGATTCTTTTTTTCAATGAAGGGAATCTTACTTTTCTCTTAGACTAGTCTGACAAATAAGTTTTAAAGATTTATTATGAAGACATTATTATCTTTGATCCCTAAGCATGTTTCCACTTATTTTAAATTTAAGTCATATCTCACCTCCTACTCAAGGTCTGTAAGAAAATCTATAGCAGCCACATAGTTTGCAAAGAAGTAAAACTGTAAATTATACACAGCTACACTGAGGAAGGCAGGATTTTGGTTTTGCCATATTAACAGAACTGGACATCCTGCTCAAGAGCTTTTTGACAAATAGTTTCGACAAAATATTTTGGCTGCAAGCTTGCAATACAAATCAAGAAAAAGTAAAGTGGCGTCTCACTCAGCTTGCAGGAACTTGGAATAATACCGGGAAATAACTTGCTAAAACTTCTTAAAATAGCTATGCACATTAGGCAGGGATATAGTAGTACTTTTCAGCTGCGATTACTCTTGTGCTCTCTGTGATGGCTTTGCAGCTCAAAGATTGTTTCATTGCCTTTCCTCTTACAATACTACAAGTTTCTCAGATTGTTTAACAACGAGATTAGTTTTTTAAGGAGAGAGTAATGGAACGCAAGGACCAAGGGATGAACTCTTGTTATCTTCACTAATACAGCTTAGATATTGTTATCTTCACCACTAATGCAACCTAGATATCGAGTTGTTTCTTTAATTGTTCCCCTTTAGAATAAACCAGAATTAACAGCATAAAAGCTTTTCATTAAGGCCAAGGATTCTGCCTGTAAGAAACAGTCTATAAATAATAGGGAAAAAAAATGAAAAAAATTACCATGAGTTTTAAAACTGGAAACAAGCAGTCATGACTAATTGTGTATTCCATCTGGAAATAATTTAATTACACGGAGTAAAACTACTACGCTCTCAGAAAAGCTTACTTAATTTACTAGATAATCTACAATAACTTCCTTATACGGCTGGAGAGCAATCACTGCTGTATGCTTTGAAGCGCGAAGATAAATGGCCATGGAAACACAAGTCACTGCTAGTAACTGCAGTAATAAAAGCCGTGCTCCATCCGTTACTACAGAATGCTTTATATGAAAGTATTGCCTTTTCTCCTGGATGTGGTTTATCAAGCCAAAAACACCGGAAAAGGTCTTCCTTGAATCTCTGTGGCTGCACGTTACAAAGCACATTATGGGGAGATGGCAAAAACAAAAAGCTTTTAGTCCTGAAAATGATGCCAGATTAAATTAAAATAAAAGGGGGGGGGGG